CTCTCTCTCTCTCTCTCTCTCTCTCTCTCTCTCTCCCTCTCTCATTCTCTCTCTTTCCATCTATCTATCTATCATCTATCTATCTATCTATCTATCTATCTATCTATCTATCTATCTATCTATCTATCTATCTTTTTATCTACCAGAAAACACAACAATGTCCACTAACCAAAATATTGAAAAATATCTAAATATCCAGCCAGGCTTATCAGCACATGCCTATAATCTCAGTACATGGGAGACAGAGCCAGGAGAATTTCCAGGAGGACAGTCTAGGAGCTCAGTCTGAACTCATATATTGAGTTCAAAGCCAAAAAGTAAAGTGTCGGGGTGGCCAGTAGAGAAATAGTTCAACAGTTAAGAGCACTTGTTGCTCTTCCAGAGGACCTGGGTTTGATTCTGCACACCTACATAGAAGCTCACAACGATGTGCAACTCCAGTTCCAGAGGATCCAATGTCCTTTCCCGATTTCCATGGAAACCAGGAACACACAGGGTGCAGGTATGTACATAGATGCAAGCAAAACATTCATTCACAAAAAGTAAAATAAATAAATTAAAATTGTTGAAGTAGAAGAAGGGCAGAGAAAGCGGCTCAGTGAGTAAAGTGCTTGCTCGTCAAGCACGAGGGCCTCAATTTGATCCCTAGAAGCCACATGAGAAGTCTGCCTGTAGCAGAGCACACTTGTCATCCCAGCTCTGGAGAGGTAAAGACAATGGAATCCCTCGGACTCACTGGCCAGCCAGCCCAGCCTCATTGGCAAATACAGGGAAGAGTGAGAAATCCTCCCTAAAAACGACAAGATGGAGAACAGCTAAGAAAGACACCCTGGGCTGATCTCTGATCCTCACATACATGAGCGCCATGTGCATGCACATGTACACACACATACACACACACACATACACACACACACACACACACACTTAAAGAAAATAAAGGAAAAGCTCTAACTGCCCATTGGTGAATAAAATACTGGATATCCAATGGTACACCTACTTGAGTCTTTTGCAGTTAAAATTTATGAGGAAGATCTAACATTTATGAGGAAGATGCACACTAACTCGGAAAAAGGTCAGCAATTCAAGGTCTGTAAAAAAACAAATTCAAGTAGCAGTGTATGATAGTGTATGCAATATATGCACTTCATAGGTAGCACATGTATGTGTGTGTGGATGCACATGCGTGTGGGTGGAAGTGCAGAGAAGGACCTGGAAGATTCTATCATGTCATGTTGTATTTTTTTTAAAGTTTATATATATATATGTATGTGTATGATATGCATATGCATATATGAGTGTTTTGCCTGCATGTATGTTTGTGTACTGTGTGTGCAGTGCCTGTGGGGGCCAGAAGACATTATATTCTATGGAACTAGAGTTACAGACAGTTGCGAGCTAACATGTGGTGTGACGGGAACTGAACCTGGGTCCTCTAGAAGAGCAACAAGTGCTCTTAACTGTTGAACTATCTTCCCAGCCCCCATAATTTAAGTTTAATGTGATGACTAGGTCGGAGAAGGAAGGATTGTCTTGCTATAGTCCAGCAGTATGCCTTCTGCAGCTTGCTACTGAGTACCAGGCATGTACACACTCAATAAAAACTCTCAGGACCAAACACTGTGCTGGAGAGTCTAATAGTGAACCAGAAACGATGTTCCCACTCTTCTGAAATTATACCCAGGAGAAAATTAGACATGGACTGAATAAGTATTGGCAAGTGACGTTTTCAAGAAAACCCAGGGTTTTTAACCACTGTATGAGAGACAGCTAGTCTAGGGAGCCGTGGAAAGTCCTTCCAGGAGCTGATGAGTGCTGAGGCATAATCAGGTGACTGGAGGAGTTGACCAGGCTGTGGCTGGGAGCAGGAGAAGGAGGAGAAGTGGGTAGCCTAGGAGAGGGAACAGCCTGTGAAAAAAGAACAGCCAGGACCTCTAGGCATCCAGGGGAAGGCAGCTGGGCTGGCACACACCAGATGAAGCTGCCGTGGAACACTGTGGGCAGGACCAGGTCAAGGATTTGGAATGGGTCCCAGGACTGCTGGGAAGCCATTGAAGGCTTTAAATGACATGATCAGATTTGCATTTTAATAAGATCCCACTGACTGCTGTGAGTAGCATGAACCACAGTGGGGATAGACCAGGGTAGGAAGGGAATGAGGACAACTGGCCAGGGGGAGAGGCTTGACCTAGGCTGAAGAGGAGTGGGTGGGTCTGAGACACACTTCCTGTCAGATCTTCTTTGAGACACTAGGTAAGAATTGTCCCTTGCTGAGTGCCTTGGAGCGGATTCACACCGCTTCATTAATCCTTGAAACAGCTAAGGGAGGCAGTGAGAACAGCAATATTGGGTCCATCTGGAGGAAGAGGAAACAGAGGCTCATTGACATTCAAAAGACAAGTGGCAGGATATATTGCTGACTGGCGGAGTGTTTGCCTAGCATGTGCAAGGTCTTAGGTTAGATCCCCAGAACCACAAAGGAACCAGACAAATGAAAGAGATGAGTAAGGTGATGGGGGTGGGGGGGAAGGAGGGAGGAAATAGTGGTGCCTTGATTAAGAGGAGATGCATCCTGGCCGCCAGTCCCTATGAGCCCCAGCCTCTACCCCACCCACAAGCCCACATACTCACTGGTATGCAGCCAGCTGGTGAAAGTCAGAGAGCAGTTCTGGACATCAAAGGGGAAGTTATAGATATCAAGGGTGCAGGCAGTCACCACCTGTAGGGGCTTGTAGTTCTGGACTTTCCCTTGGTGATGCACGTACACATAAGGAATGTTCGGAGACTTCCCCACGTCCACACTGGTCAGGGAAGAGTGGTCAATTAGTGGGCTGCAGAGGCAGACCTTCGCCATAGAAGGCTAAAGATCTTTTGAGTAGCCCGATAGGAAAAGAAAGTCAGGGAGGATCTGGAGAACAAGATAATCCAGGCATTTTGTCTGGCCTTAATTGTCCAGTGTTATCAATCTTAGCTTTCTGACCCACTAGTATTGAGGCTGTGCTCCAAACAATGAGGAATGTTTCTTTTTTCAGCTCCCTTCACTACCTAGCTCTCAAAGGCAGAGAAGGAATCCATGAATTGTAAAGCCACTGGCGAAGGGAGCTGGCCTAGCTGTCTCCGGGCTGACACATCAGCCCACACCAGAATAGAGCTGACTCCTAGAATAGCCAGTGGTTTGATAGGACAGAAGAATCATATGCCCCATTCTGACTCTGATTTTTGCTTTGCTTTCCATCTCTAGAAGCTGCCCAGAATGAGAGCAGTCATCTCTGGAGGGAAGAGCATAGAGTTCATAAGGAGTAGAGGAGCCTAGGAACATCCTACAAGAATTCAGCCGATTCTCTTTACTGAGCCTGGACCCTAAGTCACGAGGTAGGCTGAGCCCAGGGCCTGGCCTCTGGCCTTCTTTGGGGTACACTGAAAGATAAGAAGCTAAAAAAAGGAGCAGAAAGAAATTTCTAGAACATTTGCCACCTGAGCTCTGTGGGGCATTCAAGGATGGGTCAAATCCAATGGCCTTCTTTAGGGAAATGTCATAGAGTTGGACAGTGCAGTTGGTACTGCATGAATCCATCTGGCACCTCCATTATTATTGTTATTATTATTATTATTATTATTAATAGTAGTATTTTGAGAAAAGGTCTCGTGTAGTCCAGGCTGGTCTTGAACTTTCTACGTAGTCAAGAATGTCCCTGAACTTCTAACAATCTTGCCTCCATCTCCCAAGTGCTAAGATGATAGGCAGGTGCCACCACATTGGGTTTAGCCACGGAACCCAGATATTGAGCATGCTATGCAACTAGTCTACCAACTGGATCACAGCCTCAGCCTACTTTCCCCGGTCTATCTGTATTTCCCCCATGTATTTTCCTTGCCTTTGAACTCAGATGTCCAGTTGGTAGACCCTGGATGAACTTCCAGAATGGAGAGAAAGTCAGCTGGCTGAAGGCAATGGGAGCATGTTGGGCTGCTGAGAACAAAGGCTGATGGGACCCACTTCATGCTAGAGGTGCCAACTATGGCCTGTTAGGCACACGTGTGGCTTGGGAGGTTCGAACATGTTTCTTGGCTCCGATCTCTTCTGTGACCAAGAGCATTGGCTGTCATCAGAGCTTTGCTCCTTTCAAAACAAAATGTAACCGTCCCCTCTGACAAATGCAGCTGTCTCCATTAAGTTATTAGAACTCAGTGTGACATCACTCACTGGCTTCTGTTCCTATGATGGAGTCCTGGGGACTAAGAAGCATAAGGTTGTAGCATCCAGGACAGAAAGAAAGGGAGAGGGTAATCAAGAAAAAGAGAGAACTACGTAAAGGAGAGCTTGAACAAATGCTAACTTGATCAAGAGAGGAAACTGTCACTGCTCCTGGCTTCTCTAACCGCAGCCTCCCAGCCCACTGTGCTCTGATGAAAGGACTCACAACTCATTGATGAGGATGTCAGGGACCCAGACGCTGTCTGTGGGGATGGACAATCTGGTGACATTGTCGAAGTCTTCAGGAATCCACTGCAGAAACTCATCAATCCAGAACTGTGGGAGAAGCAGAAACCGTCAAAGGCAGCTCCCCTCATCTTTGGTAAGGGTCACCTGCAAATCAGGCAGGTCTCTATCCCTTCTGCTCAGGCAGTAGGTGGGCATCTTCTAGGGGGAAATCTCAGTGCTGACACATACCTCTTTCCTGGTCAATAAGAGACTCTACCTCTACAACTGTCAATCATCTGCAGCTATAAAACACAAGCTGCTGTAGCCTCTTCTAGGGAAGCATGCCGCCTGTCCTTGTTTGTCTCACTGCCCATGAGACAGGGTGTGTTCTGAGTTAAGGGGTCCTTCAGTGAGACAGAAAAGGAGCTGTCTGATAGGGACCGGTCTCCCTGTACTACACTCTCCGTTCCATAAGTGTATGGTGCTGATAGAACATGATCATGGCCGTAGGAAGGAATCTGAGACCTGTTTATGACTGATGTGTCTACGCAGCCTCCGGGGTGGGGCTTTTCCAGTTTACCTCCCTCCCCAGAGCTCAGCCAAGTCCTGAAACATCTGCATATTATTCTGCCTTAACTGGACACATGACAACAGAGCAGAGTCCTGAGGGTTATGTGGATACGTTTTTTTTCTGTTCTCATTGCTCAGCTTGATTGTCATCCAACTTTGCATAGAATGAAGAACTTTCTAGAAGTTGGAGCTATTCACATGAAGTCACAATGGTGTGAGTTCTCAGGCCAGGAATTGTCCTTCCTCAAGGATAAGCCAGTCAGCACTTGTCTGAGATGCTTTACCATCTGAGAAACAAGGGGTGGGGGCTGGGAGGATGTCCCCATCCATCTTCCCCTGGCCCTGAGATAGGACCTTTCAGACTCCTAGATCTTGTATCTATCTACTGTGCCTCGGAAGCTGCTCACCACCTCCCTTCACTGTGGCCATTGAGATTCCTGACTCCTTAAGAGGGAGGTGCCCCAGGAAGTGGAGGGCTGCTCTGCTCACCTGCCGGTACCATATGTAGGTGGTCAGAACCTGGTTCTTCTCATCCTGCAAAAATGAAAGGGGCTGACATGTGGTCTCACACACACACACACAGCCCAAACAGAAGCTGGTACTGAGCATCTCATCTGCTGGAAAGGCAGGACCAGAGAAGGAGAAGAACTCAAGCTGCTGGCCAGCCAGGAGAAGCTGGTCTGTTAAATGGGTGCAACTAGAGAGAAATGCAATCATTTCTTTTCAACTTCGAAGATACACAGTGAGGTGGGGTGATACACGCCTGTAGTCCAGCACTTAGCAGGGCTGAGTCGGACATTGTGTGAGCTTCAGGACAGCCTGGGAATATGGTAAAACTGTCTCAATAAAACACAACAAAACTAAACCCTAGGTGATGTGCAAATTGTGTATATTTTCTGTTGTTATTGTTTATCATATTCATATATATGTGATAGTATGCCTATAGATGCCTTACCTTCTAATATCTCTCTGTATATAATATATTATACATATACAATGCGTATGTGAACTGCCGTGCTTCAAAATTAAGAGACTCCAAACTACAGAATAGAAAAAGTGATTATTCCCTTTTCTCCATCTGATTCCAAAGTCTGCCTTTCTGCAGCAGCACAGCCACCTGCCCTTAGCTATTCTTTGCAGAGGTGTTCAAAGCATCATGATTTGATTCCCTCCTGTGTGTGCGTAGAGGGGGCCATATGACCCAGTTGCCTGCAAAGTCAGGGCCCACTTCCCCATTGCAAGGCAGAGAGCTCACAGCTCTGGCGTCGCCTTTTGTCCGTAGCCATGCAGTGCTTTGCATCATCTGCTGAGCAGTGGCCCCCCCACCCTACTCTAGTTATTGATTAGTTAATTGATCTATTGGTTGGCATTTTATCTACGGTTGCCATTTAGTGACACCTGCCACTCAGGGACCTGTGTAAGGCACTAAGGTTCTACCGATGATATGAGGGAGACAGTTCCCATCATGTGCTACATGGATAGCCACATGCAGGAGGTGACTATATCTAGGAGGAGGTGCACATAGGTGGCCTAGGGTTGTGGTTTGGGCAGGTGTGCAGATACAACTTCATTCTGTCCCAGCCAGGGTGCCAGACCACACGTACTAGGGTTCTTCATGCCCACCATATTACCCAGTAGGTGATTTAGCTTTACATGGCTTCTCTGATTCCCTGACACAGATCAAGGGCAGCTCACCACGTTGAGGATGGCATACATGATGACATCGATGAAGACGGTAGTAGGCTTCCTCCAGTCCCGCACAGGCCGCACCCCCTTCCTGTAGTTAGCCAGGAGGTGATCTGACAGCCTTAGCAGAGCAGGCTGGGTGGTGCCACGGGCCTGGTTGGCCCTCCTCCGGCTGCCTGGGAAGGAGAGCAGTTTAACACAGATCCCAGAGCCCTGATTCTCTCGATCCAGTTTAGAATCTGTTAAAGAATTTCATCCTCTGGGCAGGAGACGTTGCTCAGGGAGCAAAGGCCACTGCCACCAAGCCTCATGGCTTAAATTCAGTACCTGGGATCTACATGGTAGAAGAAAAGGACCTCCACATACAGGCCAAGGCATATGTGTGACCTCAGACACACAGCAGCAATGACAACAATAATACAAAACAAAATATAAGTTTAAAAAGGAAAAGAGACCCCAGCTCCAGGCCCTGGTGCTATTGTGGGATTTTGAGTATTCTTTGGTTTTCCCCTGGGAAACAGTGGTGCTAACCTCAGAAAGCAGGAGTGACATGGGACAGCCCCATTCATGTGGGGACCACATGCACTAAAACTGAGATGATATAGAGGTTAGGGAGGCACCTGCACAAGGTAGAGATGCAAACTCATGAAGCAGTCCATACTTCATTAAACAAAAGTCATCACGCAGTGGGTGGGGAGGGCACAGCCCAGAGGGTCGGAGCCCAGATGGCAAGAAGGTGAAGCCGCAGAATGGACTGGTCCTTTGCAAACTGGGAGCCAACAAGGCTGGTTCTTATTAAACAATACTGTGTCCTCCTAACCTGCCCTCACACGTGTCTCCAGATGCCAAGGCATTCTTGCAGGCTCTTCTCTAGTGTGTCATCTGCCTGTCCTATGAGCTTCCCTCCTGTCTGGAAAGACAGAGGTGAGCAAACAGAAATGGGAAACAAGAGGCTATTTTAAAGTTTCTTTTATTTTGTTTTGCTTTTTAGACAGGATCGATCTCACACAGCCTAGAACTTGCCATGGGACCAAGGAAGACCTTGAACTTCTGATCCCCCTGCATCCACCTTCCAAATGCTGGGATTACGGGCTTCTATTATACCTCCACTTCTGGTTTATGCAGTGCTGGGGATTGGGGCCAGGGCTTTTGTGCATGCATGCTAAGCAGGCCTCGACCAACAGAGCTGTATTTCCCTCTCCGAGAGACTTTTTTGAGTCTTCCTTGGAATAATGGAATAATATCTGCATAAGTCTTCCAATTCAGTCTCTGCCAGCGCAGCTAGCAAGACAGGACCATTATACAGACAGGAATCCCCAAGGTTCAGGAGAGTAAATAGCATACACTGCTAGCCAAGAACCTGAGACTCACACCAGATTCCTCACTACTAACTGAGAGGCTTATAGGGGAGTCTGATGGGCTTTGAGGGACTCTTGGATGTTTGGGGAGTGCCTGGCTAATGGAGTCAGACCTCAGAACAAGGGCATGGCTGGGAGCACAGAGCAACCCAGGCAAGAAAGCCCAAAGCACTTACCACATGCAATTTGCCTCTCATCCATTTACCCTGCTTCTCCCAACGACAGCTTCCAGAAAAGAGCATCCTACTCCTAGCCTTCCCATCAGACCCTCCCCTTGGTGGCACCCTTCTCATTGACCCCCAAGATGCTGCAACCCGGCTGTGTAGAAGGAACCTTCCTGTGGTGTGGTCTGCAATAGAACGAACCAGATCCTGTGTGGCCCGAACACCTTGTTTATGAGGCAGTGAGGAGAAGATTGAGTAGAAAGGACAGAGAAGTTTGACATTACTGGAGGTGAACCTTAGAGGAGCCTGGGGGAGGAGAAAACCCATAGGACCCATGCAACAAAACCAGCAAAAGCAAGAAAAAGATACTAAAGTGATCCTGGTCCCCACTCTGCTGCTGGCAAGCTGTGTGACCCTGAATGAATTAGTCTCCCTCTCTGGACTGTGGTTATAAGAAAAAGTGAACTGAATGAGCTCACAGGTCCATAGCTGCTCCCATTTGATAAGGCAAGGTGAAGAGAATAGGAACCGTCTTCCAAAACCTTCCAGACTCTACTCCCTTCTCAGGAGCAGGCTCACTTGGGCTCAACTTCTCAAACCACCTCATTTGACCCCACACCTTAGAATCCTTTCTTATAACAGTGAGATAGCTGATTTTCTAGAGCCTTCCTGTAGCTCCGGCCTCTCCTACCTTCAGCCCTTTGGGACTTAAGGCTTTCCCCCCATCCCAGCTTGCTATTCCCCTCCCTGCCAAACTCCTTACCTTCTCCCTGTGCTGTCAGCATGGACAGGAACAAGGCCAGCAGCACCTGCAGGATGCAGAGCCGCATGGCAAGCTTCCCAGATGTGGGAGGGCCTCGGAGCAGCTACTCAGGATGAGTCCCCACGACTGCCAGCCTGCACACCCACTGCCAACCTCATGTCCCAGGCAGCCTGCTTTTCCAACCGCAGCCTGCACCTTGTGCGGCTGCAGCCTGGCACTCCCGGCCACCAGAGTTGGGGAGCCGCCAAGTTTTCTAGCAAGCAGCTTTTCAGCTGGGTCAGGTTTCAGGGCGGGAGAAGGGGGAGGGGAGTCTGCTGGCAGACGTCAGGAGAGGGAGTTCAGCCCACCCATCCAAGTAGGTGGCTCGACTGACCACATCTTGCCCAAGAAATATTTTGGGGAAGGGTAGGGCCTACAGGATCTGTGAAGCAAAGATGCAGCTGTGGGGCTGTACACTGGGCTGTCACTGTCAGTACTGTCCCTTCACAAGTACAGTATGGGGAGTGCCACAGGGTGGCTTAAGCCGAGGTAATAAAAAACATACTTTGGCTTCCCAAGGTGATGTAATGCCCCTAGTGAAGCAGGTGACTGGACATTTCTGAGGACAGAGGGGGTAGCAGGGAGTCACACTAAATGTCTGCTTCTTCATCCTCATTTAATTAAAGGTTTGTTTGTTTGTTTTTCCATTTTGATTTGTTTTGCTTTGTCTTTTATGCCAGGGTCTCATGCAGCCCAGGTTGTCCTTGAACCCACTAAGACGCTGAGAATAGCTTTGAACATCTGTTCCTCCTGACTTCACCTCTCAAATACTAGAATTACTTAAGGCAGGTGCCACAAAGAATCAGGGAAAACGAAATAGTTTACACATCTTTGCCTGATTTTCCAAGTTTTATCATTAAATGGGTGGCCTTTTGTGATCATGTTCTTATCCTAAGTCTGGGAACATGGTTGAACATGCCTAGCATTCACCAAGCCCTGAGTGTGACCACCAGCAACACAGGGGGAAAAGTGCTTTACACCAGGTATGGTGATGTTCTCCTGTAATTCCAGGGAGGAAGAGGCAGGAGGAACAGAAGTTCCAGGCCACTCTGATCTACACATCTGGTTCCAGAGCACCATGGGCTATAAAAAACCCTATCTCAGGAAACAAGGAAACAAAAAATTAATTAAAGGTTCAGTAAGCAACAGGACCAGGCAGTGTGACTGGCATCTGTAACCTCAGCACCTGTGAGGTTGAGGCCAGCCCAGGCTGCACAAAGCATGCGCGCTCTCTCTCTCTCTCTTTCTCTCTCTCTCTCTCTTCCTCCCTCCCTCCCCTTCTTCCTCCCTCCTTCCTCACACACATAGAGTTAAAAACATTAATATATAGGAAACTCAACAGTCTGAAAGCCTCCCAGGAGTTTTGCTGCATACAGGGCAACAGTTGGGAGCCTGGTATGGCTGCCCTCTGAGAGGCCCAATAAGCAGCTGAAAGATTCAGATGCAGATACTAGCATCCAACCAATGGACAGAAGCTGGGGACCCCTGTGGTCGAATTAGGGAAAGGCTGGAAGAAGCTAAGGAAGGGGGCCACCCCATAGGAAAACCAGCAGTCTCAACTAACCTGGACCTTTGAGATCTCTCACACACTGAGCCACCAACCAGGTAGCATACACCAGGTGATACAAGCCCCTCCCCACCACACACACACATACAGCAGAGGACTGCCAGGTCTGGCCTCAGTGGGAGAAGATGCACCAAACCCTCAAGAGACTTGAGGCCCCAGGGAGTGGGGAGGCCTGGTGTGGTGGGGGGTGTGGTGGGGACAGCCTCTTGGAGACAGGGGGCAGAGCGGGGAGGGAGGGGGAGGAGGAATGGGATGAGGGTGGACAGGGAGGGGGATAATGACTGGACTGTAAAAAAAAGATTAAAGATAATTTTAAACAAACACATACACACACACACACATATATATATATATATATATATATATATATATATATATACACACACATACACACATACACACATACACACACACACACACATATATATATACACACACATACACACACACATACACACATACACACATACACACATACACACACACACACATATATATATATACACACATACACACACACATACACACATACACACACACATACACACATACACACACATACATATATATATATACACACATACACACATACACACACACATACACACACACACACACACACACATATATATATATATATATGTATATATATATATATATGGGCATGGAGAGGTGAGTGGGTATGCACGTGTGTGCGTGCTAGTGTCCTTGGAATCTGCAAAAGGACTTTGAATCCCCTAGAGATAGAGATACAGGCGATTGTGGGCTGCTTGTCATGGGCACTAGGAACTGAACATGGGTCCTCCGCAAGATCAATATAGGCTCTTAACCTCTGAGCTATTTCTTTTGCAGGTCATGTGTATTTATTTTTATACATTCTGATAGATATAATAAGTACATGCAGTATTCATTTTAGAAAATTATAAAGAACAATTACCAGCCTCCATAGGCTTACTGTCGCAGAAGGAGTATGTTCGTCTCTGAGTTCCTTCCATAAAGTGTATAGTTAAGAAAATAGGATGTCAGGAGAATATTTTGGTGGGTAAGGGCACTGGCTGCTCTTCCAGATGACCTGGATTCAATTCCTAGCACTAACATGACAGCTCACAACTTTCTGTTACTCCAATTATAGGTGACTCGATGCCTCTTCTGATCTCTTTAGTTCCTGTATACATGCAAAAATAAATAAATAATAAATGAAATATATTTTATATATAATTTTATAGCTTTCTCTGTTTCTTTTTAAAATGTGTTTTTATTTTTTTAATTGTGTGTCTGCATTGTCTGTGTCACCTGTATCTGTGTCGTCTGTGTCTGTGTCTGTGCCAGTGTCTGTGTCTGTGCCTGTGCCTGTGCCTGTGCCTGTGCCTGTGCCTGTGCCTGTGTCTGTGTGGGGATATGTACCGATGAGTGCAGGTGCCCATAGAGGCCAGAGGTGTTGGATCCACTGGAGCTGGAGTTACAGGTGATTGTGAACTTCCCAACAATGGATGCTGGGAACTGAACTCAGGTCCTCTGCAGGGGCAGTACATGCTCTCGACTATTGAACCATCCTCTCAGACCCCTTTCTCCCTTTTGTAAACATTTTTTTAATACTTTCTGTCTAAATTTGGCTCTCTTGAAAACAATGTCTCTTTTCTCGTTGTAAGTTAAATGGGTAAGCATCTACTACTTGGAGATACAGTGCCTCAAAAGTTGTCTGAGTAAAAGACTATATGAAGCCGGGCGGTGGTGGCACACACCTTTAATCCCAGCACTTGGGAGGCAGAGGCAGGCAGATTTCTGAGTTCGAGGCCAGCCTGGTCTACAGAGTGAGTTCCAGGACAGTCAGGGCTACACAGAGAAACCCTGCCTCGAAAAAAAAAAAAAAAGATTCATTAAAAAAAAAAAAGACTATATGAATTTCAGCTTGGAGGAACCCGGCCCAATCTATCATTAAGTGGAGACTCTTCTGTCTCTTTTATATTAAAGGCAAGGTTTTCCTGTATCTGTAATGGTAAACTTTAACAAACAAACACTTGTGTTCTTTTTAATTCCTTTTCCAGTAGACTACTTGCGTGGAATGAGTTGCAAGAGGAAACATTTTCTGAAGTGTAGTTTGTTTTCTTTCTTTTTATTTCATTTCTTAGATTGGGTCTCATCTAGCCCAGGGTTGCCTGGAACTCTCCCTATAGCCAAGAATGACAAACACCTAATACTTCTCACATTCTGGGACTACAGGTGTAAACCCCCATACCCACTACACGCAGTGCTGAGGTTGGAACCCAGGGCTCTCTTCATGCCAGGCAAGCATTCTGCCAACAAAGTCTCATTCCTAGCACTAAAAATAATATGAATTTTTTTCTTTTACAAATCTTGTGTAGCTGAAGCTGACCTTGAACTTCTGACCTGTCTGACTTCACTTTCTAAGTGCTGGGATCCCATCGAATGGCCATAAGCCAGGGGTAAGTCTTCAGCAGACATATGCACTTGGGTCACCGCTGTGGCTATTTCATCACTGAAGAGCTGACTGCTCTCCCACGGCCTCATCAGTGTGCTTAGATCCTCCATGCTGGAGCTCTGGTGCGTATCAAAGCCACACCATTCATTTGAAGACAGAGGAAGCGTCAAGAACCACCTTGTCTTGTCCTGAGAGGGAAAGAAGAAACAGAAGATTTGGAAGGGGTCAGGGCGTTGGGAAGGCTAAGATGAGGGTATAGGTAGCACAGCTCTAGGTCAGTGGGTCCCAACCTTTCTAATGCTGTGACCCTTTAATACAGTTCCTCTTATTGTGGTGACCCTCAACCACCAAATTATTCCCTCGCTACTTTGTAACTGTAATGTTGCTACTGTTATGAATCATAATGTAAACATCTAATATGCAGGATATCTGCTATGCAAAACCCCCCAGGGGTCACAACCCACAGGTTGAGAACTGCTGCTCTGGATTCGATCTTTAACGCTGAGAATAAAAGAATGCCACGGGAAAGCCTGGAGACCCTGTCCCATGGGCCCTAAGCCTTCATTTCTGTGTTCAGTACTGGAATCCTTTGGGGGCATCCAATTGGGTTAGAAGGAAAGTGGATACATTGTATGCAGCGTGTGCATTAGAGAATTACTCCCTCAGATAACAGGATTAGAGGGAGCCGAGCAGGCCATGGCCTCAGATGGAGATAGATTGCCCCAGAGCCTCTCTGATAGAACAGCAATCAAGTTTCCCCCGAAGAAATGTCCTAATAATGGATTTGATGGCACAACAGACAGAGGGAACTTGGAACCACGGCCAGTGGCGGGGTGTAAATTGCCTCAGATGAAACTGAGGAGTCACTTTTGCCCCTTTTAAACAAGATAAGAATTAGCGTGAGGCCTTGATGAACTCGTCTTGGCCGGTGGGGACCAGGGAACAGCAGCAGCCTGGCTAATCTGATTCCTGAGCTCTGCTTCAGACCGCGGGGCTCCTCCCAGGGAATGGAAGCAGACAC